TTAAATATGTATATTCAAATTATTTTCGGCCGTCTATTTATGTTGTTTTGACGCTGTACGTGTTGCTCGGCGGTTCGTTGAAGCGGCAGTGTGGGGCGGGATTTCGCGTCACGTAAATATACTACGGACTTGGGTTCGATTTGTTTCGCGTCTAATTTGGTGACGCTGCCGGGAGATCGACGCAATCGATGCGTGGTGGTTAGCGCACAACTATTGCGTTTTGCTTACGTCACAGATCATCTACAACTTGTTTTCTTAAGGCAGGCGCTGGTGAATAATAGTTATGTGGGGAAATACCATTCGAGACTGACGTGTTTGGTACAATTTAAGGTGTCCTACAATTATATTTCACTATGGTATCCGATTATAATCCTAGTTGCCAACTGTAGATATACGTGACGATGTTGAAGCTGAATAACACTAGAATATTCCATGAAGGCAATTCTTTGAATTGAACCTCGAGTCGCCATTGCTCCGACGTGACTGCCCCGGGCAGGGCAAGACCGAGATTCTGGTTCGTAGGCTTCGTCGTACTTGCATGCAAAGTGGTAAAAATATGCATTTTATAAGCTTTATCAATCGTTCATGATTTACTATAAATATAATGATTAGTTTTCGAAATAAACCATTGTTGTGTTTCGATAAATTCGTCTTTTTATGAATATGAAATAGAGCAGTGTTTTTCCTCTTTGTTGAAATTTTTATTCGAGATTTTTTTTATAAAAACAGGAAAATGTCTCTGTACTATTCGTTGCTCAGTCACTGGTTGTTTTTTCTTGTCTTTTATAACACTTATCAAACGTCCGGTTCTATTAGAGTGTCTTATTCATAACATGAAATGTATAAGAAGTTTGTAGGAACTATAGTTGTGTCGGTTATTATTGGTCTACAAACATTGTTATTGTGGTATAGTAAGTGATGATAGACAAGTTGTCAACAACATTCGGAATGGTAAATAAAATACAAAGTTCATCAGTTATTACGGTACGGGACAAGGTTTAACGTCATTGAATACCTTTAAAGTAAAACACACGTCTTAACTTCGTCGTATTAACTCGATTCTCTTACTTTTTATTGACCGACTTCCCAAAAGAAGGAGGTACTCAATTCGTCTGTATGTTTTTTTTATTTTATTTTTTATGTGTGTTACGGCATAACTCCGCCGCTAGTGGACCGATTTTGATCATTCTTTTTTTGTATAAGTGACGTTTTATTATGATTACACATTGTAAGTATTATTACTATTCAAGGTATTTTTCAATGTTATAATTCTTTTATCGGTGAAATGATAAACAAAGATCAAAGAATTTAAAAAGCTGGAAATGTCTGAATATAATATGAGGATTTTACTAAAAACTCCCATAGTTTTATTATGAACTTAAAAGTTCTCATATTCAATGTATTTTTTTTTTGTTTACATTGTATAAAACAATTTTTAAAATGATTAATAAAATATTTACTACGGAGGTAATAAAAATTTATGTTGGCTTTAATTTATATTTTACTTGCTATGTTTTGTATGTTGCAAAGATGTTAGCTCGTGTCGTCGACCCGCTTGTGTAAAAGGTAATTGTAATTGCATCAGAAATTATTGTTGCTCTGTCAACAATGTATAGTCTATATAAGTTTCATCGATGAGAGTTTTAAGAGTTCGTTATTTATTTTAAATAACAAACTTGATAAGAACTATTTATACACAATTTATTAATTGACACTGATTAAAATAAGAACATCACATTTATTTCTAACTTAGGAGCAAAGGGCGAAAAAAGTTTACTAAACTGCCAGGACATAAATCTTTTCTTTCTATACGAATTTAAGGATGACTAGTTCTAGAACAATATATTTCCTCGTTTGTTTTTTTCTTAGATATTACTTCTTGTGATATATTTTTCAATGTCAAACAAAACACAGATGCAATGAATGCAAAAGTAAAGAGCACTTAAAAGTACATGGAAAGAAAAAGTAGATACAATGTTGTACGTCGCAATTGTAATAAGAAACTGTTAGTAGAAAATAACACTTAGAGTCAGTCCTAACAATTTAACGTGTATAATATGTGATGGCAATATCGGATTTTGGTACCCTATCTGACAATGACGTCACTTTTAAGCTATCCGAGCCTCAACCAGTGGTGGGACAGGCCCTTAATCAGTAATAACAAATATAAAAACGAAATGTAGACTAACACTGTGTGCAATTTTCCCTCAAATTGTGACAAATTACGATAACGTTCTTCTGTAAAGATAATGTTTAGAGGAAAAAAGTTGTATCATTGTTTAGCACGCATGTAAAATATTAGCTTAAGGTTTATATCACCACTATCGTATGATGCGTCAGTCACCAGCCGCTGTCTAATTGAATGAATTGAACAGAAAAGTACTTGATAACATCCTCGTGTATATGACGTACAAATTTAAACATCTTTTATTAGTGCAACGTAAGATTTGGACTTTGATGAATTGATGATTTAGTTACTAAGAACAAGCGTGGGTTTTCTTTAGGAAAGCTTTACTAGTTAAAATACCGAGAGTTTCAAATTTTAATATGTCAGTATATTGCAGAAACAATCTGATAATGCTGAAAAGGCACTACTGAGTATGTAATTATGCTGATATGACACTGAACCTTTTTATGCGACTATTACTAGATTTCTGAAGTTTCCACTTATTTCATCATTACCTAAAGTAAGCAACACCTAGCGATTCATTAGCGTAAATTTGAGCTATGCTTCAACGTAGTAAAACTCCAGTTACGTAGTTCAGAAATTTATCGAACATGAACACGCATTTCATGAATTTATAGAACCAAAAACACTAACGAATGGTTAAATGCAGCTGGGAAACCAGCCATATGCAAGTTCGATAAACAGTTATAAAATGCAAGCCTTGCCAGCTCACGTTGGAACCCGAATGATAGATTCAGGTCACGCCGAGAAAGTGACCTTGGATTATGTCTTTTCGGAGAACGTAGTGGCATTGCCGATTAAAACTCGTTTTAATTTATTTAGAAATTACGTCGTAAATTCAATGTATTTAAAATTGATCAAAAATTGAACACCGCTATATCAAAGGAATTCTACAAATTTTTATTTACAACAGTTCAGCGTAGCTCCAGTATTTTTTTTGTAATAATAATAAAACGATATGAACCTTCATGGTGAGTAATAAATATTAGAGGTCGTAACTATTACGATCGTGAGTACCAACAATTCAAACTGGTTTGAAGCAATGAGCAATTAAACATTTATTAAATGTCGACTTGATAGTTATTAGTTAATCATCGCTTTGATTAGTTAAGAAAAAATAATACATTAATTTAGGTCATTAAAGTTTTCTTTGCTCTGAATTTCTAGTTTATTGGAATTTCAATCTTAACTTCTAACTAATGTTATAAATGTGCAAATTGAGATGGATGTTTGTTAGAGTTTGTCAATGAAATTTGGTACAGATGTAGAGCATAGTCTGGAAGAACACATAGGCTACTTAATTTTGTTTTGTTCAATTCCACGCGGATGGAGTCGCATTCGAAAGCTAGTTTAGCTAATAAATGTTGGCGTTGCATTTAAAAGTGCTTATTGTATGTTTGAAATGTATGTATTCCATACATTCAAATAAATGTGATTAATGAAGTTGAATGGTTTCTTTGTATACAAGTATGACGTATGCGGAATATCTACTTATAGGATAAACGCTTGTCTTAATGAAGATTATTGTGACGTAGGCACACGTGACATTTATTAACTCGTTATTCCTTGCTCGTGAAATGAATCTTTATCTATTAAGTTATATTTAGATGTATTTTAATTGACAACATAAACTGTTAAGTGATGTTACGTTTCCAATCATTGCAGTAATCAACGAATGCTCGTAAACTTAGTTTAAGGTTTCTTCAAATGTTAGAAGTCTTTAATGGACTATTTATTTATGGCCCTTGATTAGTAGTGTTGTTTCCGTTAGCCAGGCTGGTTTATCGTAGCATAACTTCTTCGCGATTTCGTCAGCTTCAGCTGTACAAATATTTGTCATGAAATATATGTATCGTTAAATATAGGTAATAGCGTGGTGTTTGAACAGTGCTGCCTGTCTTGTGAATGTATCGTAAATATGTACCAGATGGGATACGTCAAACATAACACCTTTCCACGTGTTGTCATTGTTCACAGGAATAAATATACGATTGTTTTGTTAATTTCAACTGCACGTTTTGCGCAGTTAATTATAAATTTTCAATGATTTAGTTTTAAGATTTTTTTTATCTTAAAGATGTCAAGGAGGAAGAATTTATTTGTGATAAGGGATTTAGCTGATTTTAAGGCAATGTTAACATATGCTTATTGCTTTGCCGCATTTTTATAGTTATTGTTAACGTTAATTAAAAATTGTGACAATCAATGCCATATCAAATATCTTGTTATATCAATTCCAGAAGGTTTTTACACGTGTGGAAGTTTCTATAATAAATGTTATGCTAGGCCAAATATCAACGCATTAGTTTAGTTAACATATCTTATGTAAAAATGTTTGCAGTATGCCTCGGTCGACAATATTGACAAGATTTATGTATCTCTCATGCAGAGTTTGCTGTTACCACAAAAACACGATCATAAAAATAACTCTTACGGGAGATCTTAAAGTTAGATCGTGATATAAATGTGGTTTGTTTATTTTTTATTTTCAAATGTTAAAATATATAAAACATGCTTCATTCACCTGATGTTCGTTATGGTCTATTCACACTAATGTACAGTAGAACGGTTGTTGTAGGTTATTGCACGCTCGCCGGCCTTCGGCGATATATTTGAATGAAGCATATTAATAAATCTACCTTAATATCAAATGCAGAGTCGTTTAATGGTTAAGCAGTCTTTTAGTGTGGATTTCTGATACATACATATATACAAACTCCCACCACTTAACGAAGGAAGAAATAAATAGAGACCTTTCTATAATATTATAGTTGTTTGTATTGCGTATGTTTTTACGGTGTTATGTTTGCAGGTGGACAGCGGCGGCGGTGGCTCGGCCGAAGTGATGGTGTACTCTCTCGGCTGGGGCATGGGCGAGCCGGAGCGGCGTGCCGTGGACCGCAAGCGCGCCCAGCCGCCCTCCGCCACGCACGCGCTATCCCCAGACGATGGTCATGAGGTCGATGTCTTACCCTTACACAATCAGGTAAAATCACATATTATGTTCTCATTTTCTTGATTAGCTCACTATTTTAGGTGTAGGTGTGTAGCCATGATATGTAAGATCGATCCCAATACATTTTTTTTCATTTTGTAGTAAGCTTTTATTTTTATATAATGAAAGGGGGCAAACGAGCGGCGTGAACAAAGTAGCTTACAAGTAAAATGAATTTTCAATATAATTACCACATTTCTTTCGTTTACTTACACCTCTAAGGTGCTTTCAATAATTTGTATTGTTTTAATTTACTTGTATAAAAGTGGAACAATGATATTTATTCTTAATATAAAATGCATGTGAAAAATGTAAAACACGTCAAGGCTCGCGCCGTTTTGCGCCTTCGAAGTGAGGCAGGCAATGGATATAAACTGAATTATCAATTTACGATCAACGTTACTTAAAATACAATGTGAGAATTTATTATTAACTTAATTTATTGAACAGTGCTTATAAAAGAAAATAATTATCAACAGTAAGCTTAAGAAATTTTTGATCTGCTAAACAGTTATTATGAGTACAGTGCAAATTGAATAATTTCAATACTCTTGGAAAATGGGAACGTTTTTTATAATTTTATCCAAGGTGACATGACAGATTGTGACTTGTCTAGAATCTAATAGAAAAGCTATATAAAATAATAATAAAAAGCGATTGATATTTCTAGACATTCAGTTTCGCAAGCTGCGTCACTCTAGACGTAAATAGTTGGATTGCTTGCATTCCAGGTCACCTAGTCTCTGGAATAACAAACGATAAATTTAAACTATCTTTGCGAAACCTTGATTTCAGTCAATGGGGTTTGGTCTTTATAAGCTTTAAGGCTATTTTTACTTCGTTTGTCAAAACAGAAATATGTCGTTATGATTGGCAGCAAGCCTATCGCTTTACTCTCGACATAATTTGCAACAGATAATTATTTTATAAGCATTGTTCTCAAAGGTAAATTTCAGTACAAGGTAACCATTATTCAAATCCACGGCCACTTTTGCTATCTAATAATTTAAATTAAACTCGCTTTAAACGGCACGCTTCTTTCTGGGACTTATAGTCTCATGGTTAATCTTTTAAGATATAAAACTTTATGAAACTACACATGCATCGAATATTTTCTATTACTGTAACGCATTTTTACACGACTGTGAGATGCGGATCTTGTAAAACGCATTCGTTAGTAACGCTCTGTATCGTAAATGATCATATAACGTTTACAACTGTACAATGAATTTCCATATTGATCTAATTCCTTTGTACTCTTATAATGTAATGTTATCTTACGACCTTGATCTATAGTCAATTACGTTTAATTACATTAAAAATGTACAAAAAGTGATCCGACATGCTGAGGACATCTAAGTACTTTCAAAGTCGTAATCCTTTTATATGCTCTTTTACACATACTAGGAATGACCTTAGTAAAGGTCCAATAACCCAAACAAAACTGGTTTATTCACACACGGTCTGTGCTGCTATTAAATTATGATTGAAAATGGGGTTTTTTGTTATCCGACCGGTCCCGTGTCAGACAGCGGTGGTAGTGTGGACGTTCGCAGGTTAGCCCGGGGCCGGGTCAAAGCACCCGTCCTTGTTTTTTTTATGTTCCTTTTACACCACGGGTAGTAACGATCGCCCGGCTGAGTGCACTGCACTGTTCACTGCGATTACAATTGTGCGTTCTGTGCCATATGTGACCGATTGTTAAGCTGCATTTTAAAATTTCATTCAATGATGCACTTATGTGGCGGGTATGAGAAATCTATTAAAATCGATGGAAGAGTTTTTGAATACTTTTGTAACTGACCTATAGTAATTGGTATCCATAAATCTTACCTTGACGTTTCTCTAATACCTATGAACAATGGTCCGATTAGAAAACAACTCACGTCTCATTCAAATGAGTGAAATAAAAGAGAGAAGACATTGGTAAATATTATTCAAGTGGTTCCGTTGCGTGTGCAGACGGCCATTGTGTTCGCCGCGGTACCTGTCGCTAATTTTTTTTATAGTTCTTTTGTAAAATAACCCGAACAATACCCAGCGACTGCGATCACTTAAATATTTTGTTCTAACCGGTTTGAAATCACCGAGGTTCCTTCACATGACTGCTATAAGCGAGTTTATAGTAATTGTCCATATTTGAGTCCTTTTTTTTATAAGATTCACTGCAGACATCATCGTATATGTTCGCCAAAAATTTCACGGTGGCCCTATTAACGAAGACTTGAAGGGAGATGCTATACGGGTGGTTATTCATTACGCATATTTTATTAACCCATTTGTCTCACTTATCTTATCGTAATATCATTGTGGTGACAATAATAGCAATGCTAATATTTTACTGTTTGTACGTTTACTTCTAATATTTAACTATTTATTTATTGTTATTCAATTTCAATATGACTTGTAAAGATGATAGATGTCAGTCATGTAAACTGGGTTGATATTCATGATGTGATATACATTCGTATTTTATTAGCTTTCGTCCGTGACTCTGTCCGCGTAAAATTAAAAAAAAAAACAAAAGTGCCTATGTGTTCCTCCACACTATCCTCTACATCTATGCCAAATTTCATCGAGATCCATTTAGCTGTTTAGGCTACAAATATCCAACCATCTAAACATTCGCATTTATAATATTACTAAGATTTCGTATAACAGTTTATACTCAGTTCGTGGTCAGTTGGGATTCCAAGCTGTGACCGGTACCTCTAAATCCGCCACTTTATGAACTAAGATACCACCCGAATGTGTTTTTGCCCTTTATTCAATAAAATATTCGTCCGTAAACTAATCGGTCGCAAACGAAAGTCAAATAATGCACAGGTTGAATTAATTTGGTGTATCTTTGTAATCGGATATTTTTATCGGATTATGGTATTGATAAGAGGACAAAGAACTGGCAACATTGTAACGATGTACTCGTGCCTTTACTGTTTACTAACATAATTTCAGAATAGATTGCTTTGTCTAATTCCACTTAATTTATTTATACATACATAATCTTTTACTTACTATCTTAAGAGCATATACTGCTAATCTTTTGCTAATAAGAATCACTATAAACATTGGTTCCTTGCTTTGAGCATATGTATTATTGTTGATCGAAGGTTCTTTGTCTTTGCTAGAGAAATAGGTCACAAATTTATAAAATTACTTTATCTGATACGAAAACTGGATAATGTTTAAGTTAGGAAATCATGTTCACACCAACCTTTACATATTCACAACCTATGCACATCACAATCACATATCACAATATTACAGATTTCTTGTGTTGTCAATTATTGTGTACGAATAAAGTAAATGAAAAATAAAGAAATGTATCGTTGAATTTCTTTTTTTATACTTTATGGCCAGGATAACTATATGTTTTTTTAGAATTATTTGAGAAGTGGAAATTTACGATTGTTCAAGCCAGTCTTAAGTATAAGGAATTACGAACGAGGGCTTCAAAGTATGATATCAAGGACATATTACGCAATGAACTCGTATAATTGAATTAATCTGTATGCAAGATATATGATTAATTATCAAGTGTAGTGTATATACGAATAATGTACATAATAAATCAGATACATGTACGTGCCAAATGCAATAGGGCAAGCTCTTAAACAGTATGAGTTATTCTTGGATATAGTATTTAGATACAGAGGCGACAGCTTATTCAGAAAGCCTTTGTATATTTATTATTATGTACTTATTTTATTTTTATATAAACGATAAAGATTTGCAACGCTCATAAACGTACCGTTCGGTTGTTATTTACCATAAGATTTCCTCAATCGAATGAGGAAATTGACTTGCTTTATTTCAGGTTATACTTGTTTTCAGATAAAATCCTTCGATTCAAAGAGGTCATCACATTTCTATCACTTCGTGGGTTGCTAAATAAGACTGTTTAGATGAAAGTAGAATGTGTAATACTTATAGTAGAGGTTAAGTCTCACCTTAAGCAATATAAGAAACATAATTGTTTGTGGAAATATTATAATAACACGAACCGGTTTTTTAAGTTAAATTAATTCGTGGTGATCTTGTTCCAGGTGGGTGGTCACACGCGGCTGCTAGTGCTGAACGACAGCACGGTAATCAAGCCCCTCAACATCCGCGAGCTGCATTTCTACCAGAACATTCCCGAAGATATACAGAACTTCGTGCCTCGATACAAAGGTGAGCCAAGACACTTGTATACTAGAAAATAAACATAATGCTCGGTAAGCTTTAAGATTTCGCTGAATGCACCTTTCATTGCATTTAATATGGTTTCATTATATTTATTTATTTTTTGTTCAGTATTTGTTCGTACAATTATCATTTTTTTCGCTTCTGTGTTCGATATGTGTTGTTTGATGGTACATTTTATACGGAGCAGTAAGGAGGCTGTCGATATTTTATTTTTAAACTCGTTATTTGTATCGATATTACTTGATATTCGATTTGCATTAAAATATTCGATATTGCTTCCTAATAAGTCACTTGATTGTAAATAGGGCATTCGACTGCTGATGGCTCATGCTCTCCTTATTGCTCTCTTTATCGTAATCATCATTTCATACTGTGTATGACAGAGACGCATGACAGTGGATACATTGGGCCCCGCTGATTACATTACATCTATTATTCTCGATTACTATTCGTATCAACAAGTCGTAGTTATTTTCTTTTTTGCTTTTAATTACAAAACAAAGCGCTACGTTTTTATATTTTCGCGTTAAATTATTTTTCTCATTATTAGTGTTCCGTTAAACAATGTAACTTATGAGGAGAATTCATAGCTTCCTGACCTTTACGGCTCATGCTTTAGATGTCAGAACACTTGAATATATGTAACATTTGACACACCTTTAATGGCAATGCGCTCCACGAGAATACCGACTCTTGCAAGTATATTATATCGCAAATGGCATTCGACTACATTCCAATAAGTCCAGATTTGCTTCTAAAGCGGAACGCTAATAAATACAAAAGCGTTTAATTTTTTGCTCTATATTAAATCAAGTCTTTAAATGAATAAATGCACAATATAATCTTTAGTATTCAGTACACTTTAACATACATATTTTTTCTTACAACATTTCATTACTCGATAGTAAAGGAATGAGAATGTAACCTATATTGTGCATTGAATAAATGGAACTTTTACCATTACGAAACGAGTATTTCGTAGTTCATGTTCGGAATTACAAAAGTTAGAGAAGAAATCGCTAAAGTATGTTGCGAAACTGGTAAAAGTTCAATCGAGTTGAGGATCGTCGAGCCAGTGATTGGTTTGCGACGTGGCACGTGTGTAGTTAGGCAGCGGGCGCGGACAGTGTGAGCGCGCGAGCGGGAGCGGGAACGCAAGCGGGAGCGGGTGCGGGCCCGGGGTGAGGAACACAATATTAGTTTCCTTGTTGTCGCAAGGGCTGCGGCGCTGCGGCGGGCGGAGCGACGCCGGCGGCACTCCACACAACCGCCTCTAATAGCGCCCTAGCGGTAATTTTACATTATGGGTTTGTAAACCTTTACTTAAACCTACACACACGCCATCGACGATCACATCTCCATACATCCGACAAAAGCACACGCAGTTCATACATCCACATTTGCTCTCATATACTCGTACAAGAACACGAAACATAACGCTGCTACAAAAGATATACAAACCCTTATTAAAATTACGTTAACTGTTCCTATATCCTTTATCCATCTAAAATGAACGCTAGCAATTAGCACCAATCAGATATGATAGTTGTTACATTTCCATGTAGTTCATTCTTGTACTCGGCTAATGCTCATGTCGTGTAAATGCTCATCAGGGGCCGGGTAGAACACCCGTCCCGCCAATACTTTAGTCAGTAAATCTTCTATTGTGAAGACAAATCTGTCCTATTTATTATCAAGTTAAGAGTGCAAACAGAACATAGGCTAGTGTTTAGTGTCCGGCAGAGCGTGAGTACTTATGATTTGGCCGTTTGTTGCAGGAGTGATGCAGGCTTCTAACACTGGTGAACAGAAATTGGACAAACGCTACTCGCCATGTTTCCGCGACGAGAACGGGCGCAAGCAGTCCCTGGGCGGCAAGCGCAAGCGAGACGACGTATTCAAGTGCGTATCCGCGGACGCGGCACTGCGGTCGCACTCCTGACACTTGTCATGTGTCCTTTATCATATTTCAGACCGCGAGAGGACGCCATTAATTCATACGATCCTTACTATAGCCACTAACGCGCTGACGACCAATTCACGCTCTGGGCGCCACCCGTGACTTGCGTCGTGGAGCCGTGGTAATGATGCATCATTTGATTCTAATGTAAACACTCTGCCAGTTTCTTATTAGCGCCTTCATTGGGTTTCTCGCGATTGCGGTCGCCTCTGCTACGTTATACATGTGCGCTTTCCTTTACAGATTTAAAGTTCATCGGAATGGCAATGCCAGCGAAGTGCTAAAGAGCATTGCGCACATGGACAATTCTAACAAACAATGTAAGTTTATTGCATTATTTTACGATTATTATAGATTCACTTGTTGTCAGTAATTTACACTAGCTGTTTCCGTGCGACTTCATCCGCATAGAATTATAAAAAAATCGTTTTATATTTCACATTTGTCAAATTTTCAATTGCAAATGTCAAACCATGGCAACCTTGCTTCCATGATGTTGGCAACAACTTATGGTTTCTTTCCCACATTAGGGTTTTTATTCAAAATATTTACCCCTAAGTTTAACGTGAAAATAATACCGTGAAAATATATAGCCTAAAGCGTGATGTAAGTGTAGGGCTTTTTATTAAAAAAAGAGTTATTCGAAAATATGCTGTGATTGTTGACATCTTAGGCAACAAAGAAGTGTGTGTTTACGCTTTATTATGTTATTATAGATAAAATTTAGTTTTAAATCTTTCAATCTTGAACTGAAATTTTAAAAGTTCTTTCCTGGGTAATAAATATCTTCCAAAGTAGAATATTGACTACTGCGTACAAATAAAACATCTCATAGCATTTATCACGTTTAGATTGCGCGTAGTAGAATAAAATTATCATAGGAAGTGTATTAATAGAGTTACCTTGGCTTTGGAGTGGACAATCACACTAATATTTACTTTACATACGGCTTAGTCCCAGTGTAACTGTTGATCTAACGTCCGTGAGAAACTTTGTTGCTTCGTTATCGGAAAGATCTAATACGGTTATCTCTACTTTATGTAACGCTTTATTAATTAAAATCTACATTATAATTTTTTTTTTAAATTGAAATTCCTAATATTTTATTACCCTTTGCAAATATGTTTAATCTATGGAAAATTGCTAATAACTAGATTTATTTTATCATCATTTATTTAAAAAAAAATCTAACTAAATTATTATAACATTTTCATGTTAACACTTGGCGTCATTAAACATATAATGTTTGTATTGGCACTGCTCAGTTCACATTACAATTATAGGTTACAATAATAAGTTCAAATAACGGTTTATAATAAAATTGTAACAATAAAGCTTCATAAATAACCCCCTTACAAAGTAGCATAATAGAATTTTTGAATTTGCCTCAGTAGTTTTTGAGTTCTTTTAATACATATAAAAATACAAATCTTTCCTCTTTATGATAAGCATTTAGATCTAATATTAAGAAATATTGTTAATATTGAATTAAGGGCGGTTTCAATTTCTGAAAAATTCTCGTGTTTAATATGGATGTTTCGTTAATGTCAGATTTCCTGATGATGGAGAACATAACTTCGTCGTACCGCCGCCCCTGCGTGCTGGACCTCAAGATGGGTACTCGTCAGCACGGCGACGACGCGTCCGCGGAGAAACGCACCAAGCAGATCGCCAAGTGTGCTGCCAGTACCTCCGCCACGCTCGGAGTACGCCTTTGCGGCATGCAGGTACACATTTATCTCCTTACTAGCTTTAAAAAAAAACTTAGTAATTACTAATTACTATCTTCTACATCTGTGCCGAATTTCATCGAGATCCATTCACCAGTTTAGGCTACTATAACAAACCATCATCATCTCCCCTGCCTTAACCTACTCCCGTAGGGTCGGCGCACCGGGTTTTCGTCCTCCAAAGCAACAGGCTACTATAACAAACATCCATCTAAACTTTCGCTATTACAATATTAGTAAGATTTAGGGCCTGTCCCACCACTGGCTGATTGAGGCTCAGATAGCTTAAAAGTGACGTCACAGATAAGGAAACAAAATCCGATATTTCCATCTCATGTTTTACACGTTGGATTGTTATCAGACAATTAACCATTTGGTGGGACAGATCCTTAGTCATTTATGTAACTGTAAAACTTTAAAGTGTACAATAACTATACAACTGCCACTACCTCGGTGACAGAAACTTTAGCGACGCAAAATATCGACGATCGTATCCCTTAAAAAAATATCTGTCCTTGATCTTTAACGGACTATAAAAAAAAGAAATCCAGTATCTGCTTCATTTAAATTCAAATCAATTATTTTACCAAACAAATATATATTTATAGATATAAATGTTGCTGGTTTTGTTTGTAATTAAGTAAGGTTTACATTTGTCGTTTCCGTATTGTTAGTTGGATAATAATGCTATGTGTCATGTTGCGATTGTGGGAATATTTTGTAAATCAACATTGGTAAAAGAATAATTACTTAACACATAATTTGCAAATGAAAATTTAAACACGGTATTAAAGTCAACCTTACTTAGCCTTTTACGAACACGCAAGTTAATTAACAGAAAGTTTCGACATTATTTATTTAATTAGCTAACAATCGATAAAGGGATTTACTGTTTTGTTGCCGGAAAATGAATGCGCTAAAAGGATTAAACACGGAAAGACCTTAACCCTGAACCTCCGTACATTGTTGTAAGGGCAAATTGTACTCGAGCGAGCTGGAAGGCCGATGCAGTATACATAGGAACGTGTTCAATTTGAATAAATTAAATAATTTACGCACGTCTTATTTGCGTACGGATGCAGGAAATAATCAAAGCGTACTTAAATTAAACTCGTGGAAGTGTATACGTGATAATTTGAGTAGATTTCCTGTCGCTAACATTGAATGCAAAAACATGGTCGTTTTTATTTATTTACTAGCTTTGACCCGCGACTACATCCGCGTGGTATTAAAAAAAACAAAAGTGAGTAGCCTATGTGTTCTTCCTGACTATCCTCTACGTCTATGCCAAATTTCATCGATACTCGTTTAGCCGTTTAGACTACAAACTCTATCATCCATCGATGTAGTGATAACTCTAAACCATTTACAAGAAAATATGTCAAGTAATTTATTAAGTCAAATTTTTCTTTGTTCGTTTCTCATTCATCCCCTCATCAGTTTTTTCGTTTCAATGAAATTAGTATTTTGTTGAACCGACGCACATTGGGCTGAATCAAGTTGCTCCATAGACAACTTTATCTGATGTTTGAAATGTCTCTTTTTTTTGCTTAAATGTGCTTTGTA